GTTTATCAATATATTTTAATGTCAGAGCATCTTTGTTAGAAATAATAAGGCTGTTAAACAGTAAATTTATATTTTCTAAGGATGAAAAACTAATTGACATTTTATTGTGAATTTTTTTATTTTTAAAGGTAGTTTTGTGCTATATAATTAAAAATTAATAAATAAATTAAAGTTGGAGGTGAACAAGAGGATGTTAAAACTTTCAAAGCTCATTCTACAATTTTAAGAGCAAGATCCCAATATTTTAAAGCTGCTTTATCTGATAATTGGTTAAAAAGGTCTGAAAATGGTATTATTTATTTGAAAAAAAAAATATATTTCTCCAAAAGTATTTGAAGTTATTTTAACGTAAGAATTATTTAATTTAATATAAATATAATTTTAATTTGATTTGACTTAGTATTTAATATTTATTTGTTTTTGTTTTAAAAAATATATTTACAATGGAATTGTTAATCCAAATAAGTTGAATCCAGATGAAATTATTGAACTTCTTGAAGCATGTGATGAACCAAATGGGACCTCTATAACATTCAAATTCTATCTTTATGATCTGTTATCTTTACAAATTTAGTGAACCAGTAAGAAATAGTTGCTTTCCATAATTGTCTTTGGAGGAAAAGTGATTATGGAAATAATTATGGATTCTTAATGTTCTTTATATGAATGAATATAAAAATAACTATATATTAATATGTATTTGACCTATAGAGTTCAAATAATTACAGAGATAATTTTGGCAACTATTAAAGTTAATTATGGCAACAATGAATAATTAATAATGGAATCACAAATACAATGATAATCATTGAAATTATGGCAAACAACTATAATGAGTTGGTAATTCAAGAATAAATCAAGAAAAATACCACAAAACGAATGAAATTAAAAAAAATAAAAAATAAAAGATTTCGATAACCTTAGTAATGAAACATTTCTCTGAACTTCAAGCTGGGTTCAAGCAAATACCATTTTATGGTAAAACGGGGAGTTGTGTATTGTAAAGAACAGTGAAAAATCTATTGTATGTGGTCGTCAATTAAATGACAAGCGGACCTTGGTTTTTTATAATTATGCGAATTAATAATGCGAATCAAGAAATCCATGAAATTTATCTCTATTTAAAAGGAAGTTTTGTGTACTTGTAATGTTGTTTGTCAAATTCAGTCAAAAATGACATAAGTAAAAATAAAAGCTCACAAAAAAACTTATAAATATGTATTCCAAGGTCTTTTTTTTTTATACTTTTCTTGTATCTCAATCTCTCCTTGGTTTCATTAGTTGTTCCCAAGGAGCTAAGTTTTTCTTTTGCTGAATACAAATTCAGTTCCCACACATTTTATTTAATACTAAACTCGAACATGATCAACTAATTTTAGTGTGTAATTGTTATCAAATGAAAATTCTACGCGAAGAGCTTTTTATAGTATCAATATTGATTGATTAAGTTACCTTACAATAATAAACCTATCTTTATCTTCGTCAAGATAATTTCTGGTCTTCGCTTTAAAGAGCATAACCTCGGTCCTCGCAGAGGAAAATAAAACCGTGGTATAATCATTATTTTATTAAACGTTAATAAGCTTTTAAAAATAAAAATAAAACCGTTGTTTTTATTTCTTGTTTAAAGCGCTTTGATAAAAGCAGCAAGTGTAGTTAGTGCCTTGGTAAAAAGTAACAATTATGGAGCTTTGGTAAAAAGACGCGTTTTATTTGCTTGGTGAACAAGCAAGGTTAGGACTAACGTTGATTAACTAGTGAGTGTTAACAACAATTAGTATCGTGATTTTCTTTAATGGGTAAGCAAAGGTTAGGACTAACGTTGGTTAACTAGCGGGTGTTAATAAAGTATCGTCCAAAGACTAATCAGTGTTATTGTAACAAGCTGCTAAGTTGCTTTGCAAGTAAACCAAAGCGAGTTTGTAATCGGCAAATGAAATAAATCGAAGCCTTGAGCTTTGTAAAAGGCCATCGTTGTTTATTTACGGTTATCTGGTACCATCAAGTGTGCTCATAGATTTGTCTAGGTAGAAGAAAGAGGGAACCAAAGTAAAATTGTAAACTAATCAATTGATAAGCACCGAATTAGTGTGAGTTGCCTGCAATGAACTGAAAAGAATAACCAAAAGTTAAGCCATAATCAGCTATATTTGTTAAATAATCGAAATGATACCACTCATCATTTAACAACAATCAAAAAATTGTGAAAAGTTTATTGCTTCAAAATAATTTGGCTTTAAGAAATAAAATAAAGATAAAATAAAAAGATAAATCAGAAGATAATGAATAAATTTATAGTGGAGATTAAATTAGTCATTCATCGACCCTTTCTTTTAATTATTAGAATTTAATGTAAATAAAAATATTGTTAGTAATGATTAATGGATAGTTCTAATTAATTAATTAATAATGAAATTTTTATTCACCTTCAGTATTTAAGAGGAGAGTGTTAAAATCAAGATTGTTTAACGAACTATCATTACTTGTATAAATTTTCAAGCTTTTTGATTTAGCAATCTCTTTATCTAATATTCGACTTTTATGATACGCGTCTGGATGTGATTTGTATACTTGTTGCGAGTCGCTATTACCATCACTGCTGCTGCTACCATGTTTTTTAATTTTAGGAAACTTGAATAATCTTTTTATTAAACTATTATTCTTACTATTGTTTTTCAGACTTTCATTTTTAAAAATTTCATTACGTTTATTTCTAGCAAAATCATAAAGCTCTCTACTAGTTGGTCTTTTTGATGGATCCACATCCCAACACCTCTGCATCATTTGCACATAATATTTAGGCATTCCAGGTAATATTGGTAGTCGTAAACCTTTTGCACATATATCAAAAATCAAACGATGATTGTGAGCTCTATTGTCAAATGGTGGGTGACCTGCAAATATTTCCCACATTAACATTCCAACACTATAGATATCTGATTCTTTGTATTAATTTTGCCTCTAAGTAGTTCGGGTGCAACATATGATACAATTCCATAGACTTTATCTGATGATTTTTCATCAACTGGTCCACATAATCCCAAATCTGTAATAAAACATTTACCTCCTTGCACAAGTATATTACCACTATGTAAATCACAATGGATTAAATCTTTCCGATGTATATCATTTAATGCATAACATAAATCTTCAAATATTGTAATTCTGTCTTTTAATGTTAAATTATGATGATTTTTTTGTAAATAATCCCTTAAATTTCCCTCTAAATGATTTAAAATTATTGCATAATTTCCATTATCTGGGAATTTAGTTATACCATAACATTGAACAATCAGTGGTGCTCTAATTTTACAATAATTCATTGCCTGTAATTAAATAAAATCAATTAGTATTATATAATACAGTATTGTTTATTTGTTTTAAATGACAACTACCAACCTCATCAAAAAAGCTTTTTCCTGGATTACTTGAATCATTTAAACTTTTTAATACTACAACGAACCCTCCTCCTAAGTAACTAAATTCCTTTTTATTTTCGTCATAATCAGTGATACTTCCTCTTGTCCATTTCGCAGTATAAATTGAACTAAATCCACCTTCTGTCAACTTTGTTATATCTTCAAATTGCTCAAAAGGTATCCATTCTAAAATATAGTTTGGCAGAGATGATTTCATTTGACATTGTTGAATAAAGTTGTCAACTATGTTATTTCCAGATGTCCAAGTGGTGAAAAGACTCTGTAATTGTAAACTGATACAACCTTCACAGAACCTATCAGAGTATTTTGTCAATTTACACTTGTTACATTTTTTTGGTTTGCCTAATTTATCTTTTGCATTCTGCAATTCAAAACTATAAATAAATGCTTCCTTACAATATTCTTTTTCATTTTCAGAAAGCTCCTTGTTTTTCTTGACTAATGAAAAATAATAATCTTTTATACTTTCTTCATCAGAATTAACATTAGTATCATTATACACTTCATTATAAATTTTATATACAAATTGCTTTCTTTCTTGAGATAACAATTTATTATATGACATTATATAAAGAAAACTTTGACTTGTTTTTAATGAATGTGGAGAAGAACGGTTACATTGTTTCCTTTTTCTTTAAATGACGTGTAACAAACAAATTTTTCGTATATACAACATTTTTTTGGAAAAACGAAAATTGCATTATTTAAAGAACATCACCAAACTCTAGTGATTGACTTATCGTGATTCAACAATAAAAGAAATTCTTTGAAGATTTAAAAGTGATAAAAATAGAAAGCATGTACCAAAGCCTGTCTTATGTGCTATGTAAAGTGCCAATATTGATTGATAAACATCAGGAAACTTTTGAGCTTAAGGATCCTAGAGGATTCCCCCAAATTTTTATTAATAGGGATCCTTTAGGATTCTACAGCATTTTAAGGGATTCCTTATGCTCAAAAGTTTCCTGATGAACCTGCTTCAAACTCAAACAACAAAAACATATTAATATTATTGCGTATTACTATTACGTGTAGTTAATATTAACTTCAAAGCCGATTTAAAGTCGATTTAACACAACTCATATGTATCTAAAGACAATTTGATTTTTTACATTTTATGAAATGTAATAATAAAAGAATGGTTTTAATTTGTAAAAAAGAAGAGGCATTTTATTTTGAAAGAAAATATACAAAAAAAAAAGCAGTTTAATTAAGTAAATTTTCTAATTCAAATTATAACATTTGTAAACCTTCTCCTTCTTGCATCATTGCAATATACATACAATGATATTAATATAATAACTCTTATTCATCCCCGATACACACATTTTTACATCCTATTTTATCATTATCATTGTTTCTACTTGTATCAAGTGTTTTTCCTTGTAACGTCAAGTGTTTTTAATTACGACAATTGTTTCTAGTTACGTCAAGGGCTTTTTACTTTAGTCAAATCGTCAAAATGACCCTGGTGAAAACTACCTTTAGTCAGTACTTTAGTTACGTTGATGACTAAAGTCAAAAGTTTCGTCATACATCATTATACTAAAACGATTACTATTTCATCATCTACTGTGATCAAGCAAGGATTAATGTCATTAATGTATTCCCAAAAAAACTACTTTTCGTGGTGTAATATGAATTGTAATACTTCCTCCTGCCAAATTTTCATATGAAAAATACCATTGTGATACTAGAATACAAACTTTAATAGAAATATATGATAAATGATCTAAAAATCATTCTGGCTTTTCTACCCTTGCCCACATTTCTCATAAAACGTGATTACTTTTTACCAAACACAGGATTTTATTAGAATACGCAAATGAAAATCCATTCAAAAATGGGTGAACATCAGAAATATTGACAAGTTCTTATTATCACTATTCGTTTTTTTTTTTTTTTGGTATATATATATAATAAAGGTAAATTTTTTTATTAAATAATAAGAATTATTATTATTACTATATTTGCGAATTATTATTATAAAGGGCGGAGTAGGAGGAGACCTTTTCCATTTTCTATTAATGCGAATCTATTGTAAGGCAAACACAATTTTTTTAAAAGTACTTTCGAAACATAGTGTTGGCGATCGCATTCCTTTCCTGATCCTATTGTAAATGATTTAAAAATTTTGCATTACAATACGTCGTCGAGAAAATAATAGTGATAAATAAATTTCTCGTGTAATAAATAGTAACATTTTAAAATAATCAAATCCCGCAGGGACCCGTCATTATACTTGATATAGTAATAGTAATAGGCGGACTTACTTTTAAATGATCCGCGAGTGGAAAATTTATATTAATATTAATTAATGTGTTTTTTTTTAAAAAAAATTTTTTGCTATTTAGAAATAAAAATATCCATTCAAAATGGCAAATATTTTTCCACTCTTAGAAAACTTGGACTTATTGGACTCAATATATGATAAATGATCTAAAAATCATTCTGGCTTTTCTACCCTTGCCCACATTTCTCATAAAACGTGATTACTTTTTACCAAACACAGGATTTTATTAGAATACGCAAATGAAAATCCATTCAAAAATGGGTGAACATCAGAAATATTGACAAGTTCTTATTATCACTATTCGTTTTTTTTTTTTTTTGGTATATATATATAATAAAGGTAAATTTTTTTATTAAATAATAAGAATTATTATTATTACTATATTTGCGAATTATTATTATAAAGGGCGGAGTAGGAGGAGACCTTTTCCATTTTCTATTAATGCGAATCTATTGTAAGGCAAACACAATTTTTTTAAAAGTACTTTCGAAACATAGTGTTGGCGATCGCATTCCTTTCCTGATCCTATTGTAAATGATTTAAAAATTTTGCATTACAATACGTCGTCGAGAAAATAATAGTGATAAATAAATTTCTCGTGTAATAAATAGTAACATTTTAAAATAATCAAATCCCGCAGGGACCCGTCATTATACTTGATATAGTAATAGTAATAGGCGGACTTACTTTTAAATGATCCGCGAGTGGAAAATTTATATTAATATTAATTAATGTGTTTTTTTTTAAAAAAAATTTTTTGCTATTTAGAAATAAAAATATCCATTCAAAATGGCAAATATTTTTCCACTCTTAGAAAACTTGGACTTATTGGACTCATGTATGGATTCCAAGAAAGATATCAATCCCTTACAACTACATTATATCAGTAAGCTTGTAAATGATTTATCAAAATTATTAAATGAACCTGATTTATATGATGTAGAAATCAAAGTTGGAGGGGACCAGAATGTTGAAACTTTCAAAGCTCATTCTACAATTTTAAAAGCGAGATCTACATATTTTAAGGCTGCTTTTTCTAATAATTGGATAAAAAAATCTAAAAATGGTATTATTTTATTTGAAAAAAAAAATATTTCTCCAAAAGTATTTGAAGCTATTTTAATGTAAGAATTATTTTTCAATTTGACTATAAATTAAATAAACATAATTATTTAAATATCTAAAATAAATATTATTTTATCATTGTTAAAAGATATATTTACAATGGAATTGTTAATCCAGATAACTTGAACCCAGATGAAATTTTTGAACTTCTTGAAGCATGTGATGAATTAAATATTGATGAATTAATTGAGGACTTGCAAAATTATTTAATTATTGAAAAAAAAGAATGGTTACAACAGAATTTAAATTACACTTGTAATATTTCATTGAAACATCAATCATTTAATTTACTTCAAGATTATTTTAAGAAATTGATTACTGATGATCCTGACATGTTTTTAAAATCTGAGGATTTTAAATATATTGAAAAACCCATGGTTATGTCTATATTAGAAAAAGATAATTTAGAATTAGATGAAATTGATATTTGGGATTTTGTCATTCAGTGGGGAATAAGCCAGGATAAAAAGTTGGAAAAAAGAAATTTTTTGGCATGGAAAAAAAGATATTTCATCAAGTTAAAAAATTTAATAAAAGATATTCTTCCATTAATAAGATTTAATCAAATTTCATCAAATGATTTTTATGAAAAGATTATACCTTATAAAGATGTTTTTGATAGAAAAATATATGAAGAAATTCTTCAATATTATCTTGGTGATAAATGGCAGCCAAGAAGAGGAACTGGAAAATCATTAAATTTGAAAATGGAATGTTTAATTGCTAGTTGGATTGATGGAAAAACATATGATCAAAATAATTTACCTTATGTATATAAATTAATTCTACGTGGATCTCAAGATGGGTTTTCTACATCTGTTTTTAGGGAGAAATGTGATAATATAGAACAAACTGTGGTTATAATGAGAATTAAAGAAACAGGAGAATTAGTTGGTGGCTATAATCCAGTTGGTTGGAATATTAAAGGAAAGCCATTAGATGAAAGATATTGGATTAAAACTGACAGAAGTTTTATTTTCAAAATTGATAAAAGTCAAATAGATAATTCAATACTAAGTAGAGTCAAAAATCCTAAATGTGCAATTCCTCATTTAATTCCTCATTTCGCTAATTTAGGCTTTGATAGAACTATTGTAAATTTTTACGATTTAGCATTATCTAACGATTTTTGTAATGGACCTTATTGTGATTATTATTATCGTCCTTATGGTAATTACGAAGATGATTTAGAACTTATAAATAATAATAAAAATGTTCATGCGATAGAAGAATTAGAAGTATATAAATTAGTGAAAAACCGGAATTAGTGCCCGTTTCAAATTCAAATTTTAAAATTAGGGTAGTTTATAATTTTTGTTGTATATAAATAATAATAATATATTTCAATCGGACAGAACCAATTAATTAGATTTCATGATCAAAGTTGACGTAAAGAAAATGATAATTTTATATTTGCATGTGTGCTTGTTACCAGACCTATTGGTTGTTTAATGGATCATTAAATTGGAGCAACACATGTTTGAACCTCTGGCAAGTAAAATTGAATTGATCAAGCAATAAATAATTGTTTATATAATAAATTATTATTAAAAATTTTTTTTTAAAACTGGCTAAAGAAGTGTTTTTGATAATGTGCTATAAGCCAACACTGGAAATCACTAGATTGTAAAGTTATTATTAAATCAGGCATGTTTACTAATGGAATATTAAAATTAAAAGAAAAAAATTTTTTTTTTTTGCCAACACTATTAATATTAATAAAATATTTGAAATCAGTTACTTTGGTATATAACACGATTTTTAGCACTTGTTGATAATTAATTACTATAATGATTTCAGGTGGTATTAATATTAGTATTAGTATGTGTTTTTGATCTCCCTTAATATCAAAGGACTGTTGTTATTTTTTTTTGTTTTTTTATGTTCAAAGAAATGTTTTAACAGATAATTTGTGGAATGCCATCAATTAATAACAATATTCAATAGAATGAATTATTAGATTTATTTTTTCTGTCTTTTTATAATAAATATACAGTATATTAAAAAGTTACCATTTTAAGAGTAGAACAAGTTCAACACACCATTTAACGAGTCTCACAAACGAGCAGCTAAAGCATAGAAGGTAGGTGTATGACATCGATGGTACAAAACAAACAATCTAATTAACTCATGTTTTTAAAAAGCTTCTAAATAATCTATCAAAGAGTCATACAGGGCAAATTAGTAAAAGAAATGCATGTGAAATTATGCATGAAGGAAAGAAGTTAGTTGGAAGCACATTGAAGGAGTTTATAATTATACAAGTAATCATGCAACAGCTAAGGCAACAAAACTCACTAAACGACATGTCTGGTTAACACCATGGATCAAGATGCGTGTTGACTTATCTGAACAAACTCTTTCGAAAGAAGTTGAAAGTGTTGCTACGCATAAACTTTATAGTAAAGAAGATAATTTTCCAAATAGAATGGTGTTTTAAAGAAGTTATTGTGACAGTAATGACTAAAGAACAAGAAAAAGAAATTATTACTAATAAAGATGAAGAATACAAAAATGTCAAAATGATATATTTAAGACCTCTATTTCAACCAAGTAATCTGTCAATTTATTACAATCATTGCATTTATTTATTAAATTAAACTTATTATAACGGTATTGTAATGAAAGGTACCGTGAAAGTTGCCAATGAATTATTATCTACTATATGTAAAAAACCAGTTTTTCATATATCTCCTTATATATTTGATTAAATTTTTTAATGTAATTTTAGGAATATTTTTGTTGTATAATATTTACAAAGGATTTTCACTACTATTAGATTCAGATTGACTATGGTAGTAACTAGATAAGTCTGCTATTGTATCTATCAAACCAGATGGATGGATTTCTCTATAAATAAAGAAATGGATTTTAGATTCACGGAAAAAATTTTAAATGTATTTAGCATGAAAAAATAAATATTACTTACGCTTGTATAATGCAAAAATTTATACCGATACAAGCCAAAGGAACCCCTATACTACAAAGAGCATAATATAATTGAGATAATAGAGTGATCTCAAATAGTTTATAACCCATTACTGCCATTGCAAATAAAGAAATTGTGCACATGAAGAAGCAACCCGTTAAGGTATAACTAAAGATACGCATCTATTTTAAAATAATTTTATATTAAATTAATGAAACTCAAATAATAATAAAGGTAATAACAAAAATTTACTTTTCGAAGATTTTTTATTAATTTTAAATGTTTCATAGTAATTTCGCTCGGATCAGAATTTTCATTACTAGCGCCAAAGAAACGTAATTGTACATTGTTTTCTCGACTTCCGTCAGGTATAACACCTGATAGTATAAAGCTTTTTTGCGTCATTTTAATTAATGTTGAACCATAATAAAATAAAGTAACTGTAATTAAGGCATGTAATATTCCATAACAAGACCTTTAATTTGAAAAAGAAAAGGAAAGCAATGGTAAATTAATCAACAAGACAATTCAATCAAAAAGAATTCTTAAAAAATAGATAACTAGTTTACCAATGTAATCCATAAGCAATTGTAACTCCAATTTCATCATTTCTGATCCGTGATAAACCTTCATATACAGCAGCCAATTCTATTGAAAAAAATTGGAATATGATTACAATCCAATAATAACATTTGATTTGGTTTGAATTTGGAAGCCTTAAGGTTTTCGTTGAGTTTGGTAGATAAAAATGCATTTTTGGTAAAGTTTTAAATCTTCAAAAGAAAAAAAATAAAATTAGCACAATGTAAAATAAATATGCGTGCGTGTTAATCGTGTTAATTTACAAAAACCATAACTTCACTCACATTCCTCCAATATAACCAATTGTTGCAATCTGGATTGATACATAACCGGATGTAAATAATATGTTTCGTAGAATATAATTTAACTTGAAGAGGTCAAATAATTGAACAACATTTGAAAATATTCTAACTTTTAAGATAAAAATAAAACTGATTAATTAATTAATTAAAAAAACCTTTTGAAGTCAATAAAAAATTTTGTTGCATACAAAAACAAAAAAATATTATCCATAACAAAAACCCTTCCAATGGTGAAAAACAACAATCATCAAATATACAACCATTCCTATACCATAATCGAAACATTAATAAACCAAATGAGAGTATTGATAATATTGATAATATTATAATTGAAATATAGTAAAGTATGTGAAGTGATGACGATTGTGTGTTTTGTTGACAATCCGTTATTGAATATGTCCATACGCATGGCAAAGAAATGTTATTATTATAATTGTTGATCGGAAAAAAGGAAGTCAACATTTGATTATATATGTATATATTAATTTATTAATTTATTCTCGATTTATCATTTTGGAAGAAATTTTTGGAGTCCGAATTTTTTTTTTTTTTTTACAAAAAAAAAGAAGAAAAGAATTTATTTTTCGTCATTTTAGTGTTTTTTTAAAAAAAAAAAAATATTTACATTACACGTAAAAAATTCTATCACAATTGATTATTACTAAAAAAGAGCAATGAAACATATAATGATTTAATTGGTTTATTTTTGTAACATAATATGATTATAGATTATTTTTAAATATAAATCACATGACTACATTTACCCTTAATCAGATGAAAGGACGATTTTTGAATAGATAACCATATCTCCAAGGTTTTTTAGGATTCCGCAATTCATTTACTATACTGGGAGGAAAAGGAGGCAGTAAATTGACTTCTAATGTTCTTCTTTCTACCTCTTCTATTCTTGTATCCCACTTAGCAGTTCCTTTAATAATTTAATTTATATTGTGAGTGAAAGAAATTAATAACTGTTCTTATTATTATTAAATATCACAAATACCTTTTTTTTCGACCTCTTTCTTTTCCTTTTTTATAGGATCATAATACATATTAAGTTTAGGGATATATCTAAATGATACAATCTTATTCTTTTTTTTCTTTTTTATCAATTCAACTCTAACTGCCTGTCTTTTATACAATAATAATAACAAAAAATAGTTATTAAGTTAATCAATTAATCAATTAAATTGATTAATTAATTAATCCATAATTAAATAAATCACTTACACATCTTTTTCTGGGATAGATCCCTCTTCAAAAGGTTTTATATGTTCAGGATGTATGAGAGAAACATTCGATACATGAATTGCTCTTAAAGTTTTCCTCATCCACCAAGAACCAGTTTTCTCAATGCTTGATGGATCAAAATCCTCTGTCTCATATTCGGTTCTTGGTGTTTTTTTACTCTTTTTTAAAAAAGTAAAAAATTAATTTTATTTGTCAATTTTTATTACTGATTGATTCACATATATTTAAAAAAATATAACTTACAAAGTTCACATTATCAACAAAGACTCTATTCGCCCATTTATCCACTTTGATCACTTTACCAACTTGGCCTTTTGTTTTACCAGAGATAATTTTTACCTTTTATTTTACACACATACACATATACACATATACATACATACATATATACACATATACATATATATATTTATACAATGAACAAATTATGAATTATTGATCTAGAAAATCTTTTTTTTTTTTTGCATAGTTAAGAAAATTTCTAATTACTATATCATCAACTTTTATTTTCCATTCCGGAATTCTATCTTTTGGATGAACCCATTTTAAATTTTGCTTGAAACGCGATGAATTTGAATCTTCAAATTTTGACCACGTTTGCCTCAGCATATGCAGTGGTTTTTCACGAGTTACTTTCTGCATTTTTACATTAGATTTTTTTTAGAGGGAAAAAAATCTTTTTTCTTGATCAATAGTAAAATTTTAGTCACACCAACACATCCAAAATCGATAAACTTTAAAGCTAGATAAGGAAATATTAGATGCTTATCTGAAATGACGATATTGCTGGTTTCAGGTTTAAAATATGTTGCATATAAAATTTCCAAATTTGAAACACTTAAAATTTTATCTCTGAAACTAAGAATTGTTTTTTAAAATTATCTCGATGATAGGTTATTTCTATTTTTCTCAGACAAACATTCAATTCATCAACTAGTTTTTCAACATTAGATAAATTCATTATTTGAACAAGAATGTCTTACCATTAAAATATGTTGGTAAACTTGTTTAATCCCATCTGATAATAATTAATTAATACACATGCAGATTCGTTCATAAATTAATTCGCGTTTTTTTTCATGCTACTGATTACTGAATTAAATTATTTATCATCACATGTGGATTCTTCGCAGTATTGTTTGTGCTTCAAATTTTGTATTAGGCAGAATGAGAACGATTTTAGTAAAAAGGATGAGATTTTTTTGTGGACAAAACATACAAAGAACTGGTTTTAGAACATACTGTAAAATTTATTATTATAATTGTAAACAATTAATATGGTAAAACTTCAGGGTATGTCATCAAAAAAAAAAATTTATTGATTCAAGCGAGAGAAGATTTACTGTTTTATCTACTAAAGTGTTTCGTTTGTAAAATTTCAATTTGTAGCTTAGAATTTTTGAATTCAAAAAATGCAATACAACCGAATATTTATTGATATTTCCCCATTTCAAAGAAAACTTTTACGTTGATAGTTGTCGTTGCAGGTGAATTAATAGTAATGGACGGATAATTTTTTTTTAATCGATGAATTTTTAAGGTTACACGAAAAAACATACGAGATTTGTTTGTCGTAAATTAATAACATGACTTGGCATTGATTTTTGTACTATACAATAATAATAACCTTATCTGCGAAAGGGGAAACGTTTAACCGATGGTCAAGATGAAATCTAATTTGAAATTTTGATATGTATTTTATCTCTTCTATAATTCTTTCCAAGCGATGGCTTTTAAATTGTTGAAGATCGAGAGTTTTTAATTTCAAACAACAACCAGGTTCAGAATTTGTGATGGTTATTATTACTATGACTCTATGACTTCCCGTGCTTTCCCTTCGAGGGATAAATTCATTAATGTATGCATTTTATATTTTATTTCAACACCCAACTTACTGTCTTAAATTGTTTAAATGTCCCAGTAGCATAGTAGAAATTCTATTTTGATCGACATTTGCAATTATCACATTTCCATTTCAGTATATGATTTTTGTGTTACATAATTTTATGAAACTTGCGATTAGTACAAAGGCCATTTTTCGTTCTTGGTTCCAAGCAAGCATACAATAAAATATTGCCATTTTTGTATAATAATAAATCAGAATCTAATTCCTTTTTTTTTTACAAAGATTGTTTGTTAAAATTAAAATTTGATTCTTTTTGCATGTCAAACTCTTTGTTAAATAAGTTTTCTTTTTTTTTCACATACATAATGTATAAAAGACTTATTTGATGTAAATTTTTTTATATTTAATAAATAAAAAACTCAAATATATAAATCCTGTAGAAATTTCAAGTTCAAATAAATTAATTAAATTTCATCAAATAAATCATTTAAAAAAATAACCAATCCAATTATTTATTTTAAAATAACAATCGGGATCGCGTAACATCTAAAATTTGTTAAATTAATATTATAACTATGCCAAGAGCAAAGAATATAGGACCATGTACAATAACCAGTTGTGAAGGAACTAATAGATTTTACAAAATGACTTGTTATACTATTGAGAAATAAGATTTAAAGATTTAGAAAATAAATATAACTTTATAAAAGAGGGTGACCAATTATGCTCTAAACATTACCTGGATATAGTTGAGCCTGATAGAAATAACAGAAACAAAAATTCTAGTGAATCAAATTTTCAAAGAACTGATGATTCATATAGTGGATCTTCATCTAGCCAATTAATTAATATGTCTACTAATGAATTGGAGTGGCCAGATATTAAAGTTAATTATACCAATGAAAATGTTATTATGTCAAGGGAAGATTTTTCATTATTAGTCAAAAATATAGAACAAATGAAATTCCAGCTTGAAAATCAACTCTATTACGTGGAGGAAAATG